CATTTGCATAACCTATAGTAACTCCTAAATTAATAGTTTCTTTCAGTAAAATTTTACATTCTGTCTGTTACTTTCTCTATCCTAACATTATACAGGCTCAGTGTATTTTACCAACCTTGTAAACATCACACAAAAAAAAAAAATTCTCTTTCTGAAATGGTTGTCGCTTGCAACAGAAAACAGCATCAGGTTTATAACAGTTTATATTTATTTTTACTGTTTTATTGTTCTCTGAATCATGGCTAACTACTAAACGTGTAACAAAGCTATACCCATGTAGCAAGTTATAGTAAGAAAAGGTATTGAATTACGAAGTGCACATGCATACCTTGCTGAGAATTTTATTTAATTGTTTTTCATTTACGTTTCTTATCTTACCAAATAATATTTTAGTTTTTGCATCTTAGTTACTTTTGTATCAATAAATAAAAAATATACATAAACAAGAAATTTAGTCATTATGTATGGGTCTTGCACATTTTTTTGCATTTGAAGTCTCAATAAATTACCCTAATTTATTGTTAGTACGTTACCAAATTTTCATTTATTCCAAATATTCAATTAAGAACACAAAATAATAATATGCATAAAGACTAATTACTGTAATTTAACTGGCTTTCTAACTAAGCTATAAGTGCATTAAATATTTCTCTTACTTGGTCGAGGTAAACTCAGCAATAGCTACTTTCAATATATAGGCCAAATAATTCAAAAAGCTACCACGAGAACGATCAATAAATTACATGAATAAATTAATTAAAATCTTTTTATATTAGTTATAAGTGTTAGCAAATATAAGAGAAAATTATACATTTTTTGAAAGGCAGTATGTGATAGGAAAGTGTAGCATGTGGGTTTGACTTTCTGAAAATCAAGATAATTGGAGGCCATAAAGTTGCATTATGTCTCATCAATATCTATACAATGAGTTTGTAATTTACAATCAAACTCAAAAGCTGAGGTGAAAAGATATCCAAGTTGGGCAGTTCAGAGTGAACAAATATCATACAGAGAAGTGAACATTGTGAATTTTTTTTACATTAAGAAATTACACTTATATATAACATTAAAATTTGATTTATTAATTATGTTTTGATGTGAAGTTTATTCACATAGATTGAAAATAAAGTAGTTTAAGTTTAGAATGCAACTCTGCAAAAATTTTGTGACAAGCACACTTTTACCTGTCAGATAGAGAGTTATAACAGTTTGATGACTTGACTACTTCCATGCTTCAAAATCACGAAAAACAAAAAGATGAAATATACGTATGTGTATATATATATAGTACTATTTCTTTCTGTCTGTAATCTAGGACACAGCTTATATTGCTACACACATGTATATACACTGAGT